GAAAGTGACCAGGCATGTGACATAGATATTGGGTTGGGCAGCGTGCACAACTTGCTCAGAATCAGAAGGCCACTGGGGGCCTGATCCTGGACCCTTGATCACTCGAGAAGGAAGAGGCAGGGGGAGATGAAAGAGGAGAAAGAACCAAACAGGCAGGATAAAGTATGGTGCTCACTTTCGTCTCCCTCCTACTCTGACTAACGGCAAATAGTTAACTTCTCCTTAAGCTTTATTATTTTACTTTGACAAGAACAGATTGGTCCACTCAGTGATACCCTGCTGGCAGACACTGATTCAAAACCGAGGAGGTGAAAGGAAGCAGGCAAAGTGGAAACAGAGATTTGTGCTAGTATAAATAATATTCTTCTTATAGGGGGTGGTGAATGGAGATATTAAATTATGAAAAAAATATTAGGAGGTCCTTATTAATTATCACAAGGAGGTTGATTAGTACTTATGAAATTAATCATTAATGGAAAGTCTATTATGATAACATACACATTTCTTTATTATTCCCACCAGCTTGTCATATATACATAGGGCAATAGAGCTAAAAGGAACCTAGAGATCAAAGTCAACCCCTTACTTTTACACAAGACAACTAGGGTACAGAGAAGTTAATAGTAATAACAGCACTAAGCTGAATAGTTTCCATGTGTGAAACCCTTTGAAATGTTATTTCTAAACCTCTGTTAATACTGTTAAGAAAGTAGTATTGTCCCATTTCATAGATGAGAAAACTGAAACTCAGAGGTTAAGTGACTTGTAAAGTCTCACAACCAGCAAATGCCGCATAAAGGATTTGAACCTGGTCAGCCTGATTCAAAAGTCCACATTCTGTCTCTGCAAAGTGAAAGAAAATCAAAGAAGCCCTAAGACTGATAATGATGACAAAGATTTGACCAGAACCCCAGTCGGAAGAAGGCTTTTCCTATTCCACCTAGTCTCAGAATGAGACCCAGGGTTTTTCCTTTTAGCTTCTGGCTTATTGGTTAGCCATTTATTACGCATGCTATTCCTAGAATTGATTATTACTTTGGGGCCCTCAGTACACAGTAGTCAGGATTCCCAGACTCTTTTGCCTCTGCCACCATTTGGCCAGAATTCACATATAGAAAGTTATTTCCTTTTTTAGCCAGTAAGTGCTCTTGGCCGCAGCAGTGTCTCCTGCCCAGTTCTTGGCTGGCCAGAGAGCAGGCTCTGGTGTTCCATTGATGTCAAATCCAAGCAAGAACTGCAGACACAGACATAGCTAGGTGGTGGGACTTCAGTCTCTAAGGAATAATGGGGCCCGGACCCTGAGTACCTGACTATCTAGTTGTGTGACCCTAGGCAAGTCACTTAACCTCTCACTTTCCAACTAATCTGAAAAATGGGAGTGTTTACTCATGGGAATGAATGAATATGTAAAAGCCCTGAAAACAGTACCTAGTACATAGGGGGTACTCAATAATATTAGTTCTTTGTTTTCTTTTCTGACATTTCTGGAACAAACTCTTCTCAAACATGACCCACTAGGCAACTTGATGCAGAATTTGATAGTGTGAAGGGCTGGTTAGTGACATAGCAAGGACCCCCATATGGCACCAGAAGCAGGAGAGATGGGAAAAACAGGGCTAGGGGAAGGATAGGGATCTATCTGTAAATTAGTTGCTTTTCAAGGTATCAGGACCTTCTGGGGCTGGGCTGGAGAAGCAGGGAGGTTCAGGGTCTGCTCGGAGCAGGCCCCTTTTATTCCCGTGAGGGCTCTGGCCTGTCTCCTACTGCATCTTTAAATCAAATACATGTTTAAGTATTTTTGAATCAGGACACCAAGCTGAAGACACAGCCATGAAGAGCGTTTTGAAGCAGACTCAGTTCTACTTGGAAGAGAAAGCGGTGTCATGTGCTCTGATCTGAGAAGGGAAGTCTTGATCTCTAGCTTCTCTGTCCTCTGCTCAACGTCTGAATCTTGGGGTTTCCAGGTGGGAGTAAGATGCTAGAAGCCCCCTGTGAAAACGCAATGCTACTGTTTCATGAAGAGAGGCTTTTTTTGGTTCCAGCTACTTCTCTGTGACTCAAAACAAGTCCCTTCCCCTCCCCAAGTCTCAGCTCATTTGGGTGTAAAACAAAAGGGTGGAGCCGGATGATGACTGAGGCCCTTCCAGCTCTAAGTCAGGGCATCTGGGGAGTCTGCCACTTGCCCAATTGCCATAGAGTGGCAGGATAGTGACAAAGCCAAGAAACAAGTCCAGATGATCTGATGTCCGGCTTAGTGGTCAGCAAAAGTAGTACTAGAAAAAATCTGTGGTTGGGAAAATCACGAGGTGCCTCCTCAGAAGTTTATGTCCCCATGAGCCTTTATTGGTAGAAAGGCCTTTGCATCAAAGGAGGTGAAATTCAAAGGGACCAGACTAAGGATCAGGTGACCTGCATTCCACCTTATTGTTCTATAGTTTATGGGATATAGACTGTGCAATAGCCATTTAAAATACTTACATAATCCTCATAAACCTTATGAGATTTGTATTAGCCTCTTTGGCACATGAAGAAGCCAAGGATCAAAGACATTAAATAATCTGCCTAGGGTCACACAGCTCAGGTTCTAACCCAAACGTGATTCCAGATGCCCAAGCACTTCCTCTTGTCCTATTATCCCTGATCTCTGAGGTCCTTCTGTGCTATTTCAATACCTCTGATTCTGACACCTCCCTACTCCCTTTCCTTATGAAAGTGACTAGATTGTCCAGTGCTGATCCATCAGAAATAATTAGTTGCCAATATGTTAGAAATAATTGATTCTCAAAGTACAATGAAGCTGTCACTCAGCATGCGCCAGCAGCCTCCAACAGTAGAAAGGAAGTTAGCCTCTTTTCCAGGAGCCCTGAAGCTTTCCAGGAAATTAGGGTCTGTCCCCCTTTGGCCAACTCAACTCTAGAGCCCAGGGTGGGGCCTGTGGAAGTTAGTTCACACTGAGAGCTGCTGAAATCCCCAGTGGGTGAGTCCCTCCCTGGGATGGAGCAGACCTTGGGCCTTGCCCTGATTGCTCTGCACAGACAGCCCCCCTTCTGCTTCAACGGGCTGGGCCCAGACGTGGGGTCAGTGTGGTGGTGCTCTCCACAGCCATGCTCCCACCAACCAGTAGAAATGAGGAGAAGCTGGCAACAGGTGGGTATCATTGCCAAACAGTTGAATTGAAGAGATGCTCAAATGGAAGAATCGGGGAGGCTCAGAGAGAAGAGGCTGCGAAAGCACAGCCAAGAATGGAGGGTAGAAGAGCCCAGGTGTGAGGGGAAGAGGGAGGCAGACTTGACTCCCTGTGTCACCTCCAAAGAGTCACCTTTTCCATGCCTGTTCTCCTTGTTTGTCAAAGGAGGAGGCAGCAATCTAAGAGACTCCTTCCAGTATCAGGAGAAGGTACGGGCATGAGACAGCAAGAGATGTGAACAATGACCTGTGTCAGGAGGCAGAAGAGGGGGAGGGCAGCAGGTTCCAGGGCTGCCCTGGCTATGTGAACATGAGTATCTGGGTGAGGGGACACACAGAGGGGGTGAAGTTGGGAGTCAGAGATGCCCCTCCTGCTGTCCTCTGCTCTGTGAGCTGTGGTCACTTGGACTCCTCACTGGCAGTTACAGTGAGGAAAGGGCTTAGAGGGCAGCTTGGGACACTCTGCCACCCCTGGGAACCTGGCAAGGAGGTGGAAGGTCCAGCAATATCTCTAAAGAGCAGTGAGTTGGAGTCTGGGCAGTGACCCTGGGGGCAATGGGTGGAGGAGATAGAAGCCACTTGGCCTGCTGATACGAAAGTCAGGCTAGGAAGCCTCTGAATACTAGCTGCATCCCTCTAGCCAAGAGGCGGGGGGCCAGGAAAATGGGGGGGCAGGAAAATGGGGGTCTTGGTCTCTTCTCTGCTTAGTGTCACTGGACATCAGGCCTCTTGACCCCATGTCCAGTGCTCTCAGCATGCCCCACCTTCCCTCAGGCCGATTGTGCTAGAGCCTTGTTGAGGAAACGGCCACCCTAGTGATGTGCTGAGGAGTGAGAACCAAGAACCCCTCCATTACAACACAGGACCCCGCGGGGCATCAGGGAAAGGCTGAACACGGGGCGTCAGGGCAGCAAACCCTGCGTGGAGCAGACTTTTTCAGTGGCTCTGAGCTGTGTTTGAGCCTACAGAACCACAGCGTTGTGCAGTGTTACAGCTGAGTCACTCCAGATGGGCCCTTCTACTTCAAACCCCGCATTTTACAGATGAGGAAACTGAGGCCCACCAGGGCGAAGTGTGTGGTCTAAGGTCTCTGAGCCCCTGAGCTGGGGCTGTTTTGCCACATGCTCAGACGAAAGGCCAAGGAAGGAGCCTTAGACCGTTTCTGTGTGAGGGTTCCCTACCCTCTGGGCCCTCCCCACACTGCTGCAGGGGCACTCTCCTGCACTTCCTCCTGCGAACCTCTTCCCGCTGGCTGCAAGTGGCAGCCTGGATCTCTCTCACGCAGCCACTGCACAGTGGGGACATGACACTCCGCAGGAAACTAAGCAGGGAATATTTTTAAACCATCCAACATGCCTTAGGGAGAAAAAAATCAAAACACTCCCCTAGATACTTCAAAAAGCATTTCATGAAAGAGTCCATGCCTTGGAAGCATGGTAAAACAGTGTGGGTCTCAATTTTAAAGGGCCAATTCTCTCTCAACAAAAGTTCTTGAAAACGGACTGGTGACCCACTCTGAGATGCCCCGGAGCATTGCAATCCACCAGAGGTGGGCTGGAAGCCCAGGGCCCTCACCCACATTTCTACCGCACCTTAAAAGTCAAGGAAGTAATTTATCTTCTGTTTCACTAAACCTTACTTTTTAACATATCCCACCCTCACTGTCACAGTCCATAGTGAGATGGACAGGGAATAAACTCAGGGGTAGAGAGAAAGAGCTTTGTTTTTATCCAGCTCAGAATTCAAGTTCCTCTCCTTGGGCTCCTTTCTATCCACTTGCAGTTTTAACTCTTCAAACTCCAGTCTCCCCTTACCTGCGTCTTCCCTCCGCCCTGGAATTCTGGTCGGCTCCTCCGCTCTGGCCACCTCTCCTCCAACTGCCCACTGTTCTGGCTCTTGAGCCTGTCAGTTGTTCCTCTTCCACCCTCTTTTTAATCGGTGTCTGTCGCCCTCCCTCCTCCCACTTCTTCCTACTCTTTCTTTCTCCACCCCTTTCCCCCTCTGGATTCCTCCCTCCCCTCTCTCTCTTTTGCTCTCTTAGAATCTTTGCTCTTTTTTTAAATCTCTGCCCTCTACCTCCCTGCAGCCATCCCTGAAGGAGGCAGAGACCCCTGCCCCCTGCTACCCTCCTGCTGTCCCCTGTCCCCCAGGCAGCCTGGCTCAACTGCTTCCCTGAGTCTTTTCCTGCCCACCCCTCTGCTGAGCTTCTTCAGACTCCTCAGCCCATAGCTTTCCTGGGGCATCAGCAGAAAAGTGGGCACTGCCCAAGAGATCCTTCTTCCTGTCCTTTTCCCGTCATCTGAAAAAGGGCGTGCTCATTCACACGACAAACCTTTTTTGAGACCTGTGCTATGCCAGCATTAGTGAGCTGAGCATCAGCCAGGCCAGGAAATCATGGTCTCACAAATCCCATTCACCCAGAATGGGCACCAGGGGTGACCTGAAAGGAAAGAAATGCCGACCTCTGGCCTTCAAAGGTCAGGGAGGGGGGCATTCCCCACAGCCCAGGATCATACCCTCTCCCCTTCTCCTCTAGAGAGAAGACAGCACTTTCCGTGCATCTGGCCCTGGGCCCGGGGCTTCATATCTATAGGACCTATTATTAGTTTACCTAATTATTTCAATTCCCAATTCTACAAGGTAGACATTTTCTGCCTTTCACATTTGAGGGAACTGAGGTCCTGGGAAATCAAGAAACATGATTATGGTGGCCCAGATAGCAAGCAGCAGAGTCAGGAGTAGAAGTTTTAGCCAATGCCAACATTCATCTCTTTGGTCTTTCCATAAAACCATATGGGCCTCCTAGCTGGAATTGAATCAATGAAAGTATGAAAGTGAGGTTGTCTCTTGTTAGATCATGAGTCACAGGTGAGAAAATTTAGAAGTGGCGGGGCATCCCCTCCTTAAACCCCAGTCATCCTCCAACTTCTTCCCCCAACTCTCCAACTTTAGCACGTGGCATGGACCCTGTGGGGTGGATAAATGTCACCAGCAGAGGCTACTGTGGGTGGACTAAAGTCAGACAACCAAAAACGGAGCCCACAGATTGGAGAGCTGGGAGGAAACCAGAGATCATCTGGATCAGTCAGGGAAACTGAGGCCCAGAGGGCCGCCCACCTGTCATTGTCACACATGGTGGTAGGTGGCAGAGAGGGCCAGAATCCAGCCTGCCCTTTGCCCCACATCCTTCTCTGTGTGGCACCAGTCATAAAGTTCTGAGATTTTATAAAACTGTTTCTTTAATGGGCCTATTTTTCACAAGTGAATAAGCGTGGGATCAGCAAGAGGGGAAGGAACATGGGCCGAATTTCCGAATTTCCTGTGTTGAGGGAGCCAGCATCCCTGGTGAGAGCGAGTGCAGGGTTCTTGACTCCTTGGCCAGCACCTCCTCACTTTTCCCCAGGCAGCATCAGAGCAGATTCTGAGCCAGCTGACTGGGTTCAATCCTGGCTCTGCCCCTTACCTAGTTAACTTAACCTGTCTGCATCTCAGTTCTCTCAACTGTAAGTTAGAGATAATAATAATATCTCCTCACAGGGTGGTCATGAGGACTAAGGAGAGTGTGTAAAGCACTTAGAACAGTGTCTGTTCATAACGAAGTGCTGTGAGTGTGGCTGCAGGATGCAGTACAATATAAAACCTTACCTCCTCCCCGCCTAGGCTCACGACGGCTGGACGGGAGTCCTGGGTTAGACTGCAGCGTGTGAAACCAATAGAGGGCCCTGATGATACCCATTTTCTTCTTTAAACAAACACGTTTTCCCCACACTGAGACTTTATCCCTACATCCCAGCCTCTACTCTGCAATACCAGAAACACTTGTTAAAGACCCCATAATGTCTCAGTCAGGGGATGGTCTGAGAGTGGAGAAGGCTTTTAGTGAAATATTAATTCCTAGCCATAAGGCTGCCAAAGAACAGCCTAGTTTGGGCAGGACTGGGGGCGGGAGAAAGCCATTTTCCTCTGAACTTCAGAAGAAGGAAGAATTGCCTAGCTATTAGCACACCCTTGGTCCAGGAGGGAGCGCAAAGTAGGGAAGGTAAATGTTTTCTTCCTATTTGGCAGGTAGAGAAATAAAGTGGTGAAGAACTGGGTGCATTGCCTTGAAGTCTGCAACAGGGCTGGGAGAAGCTGGAGATCTCTAACTGGGATCATCCCATGTCGGTAAAGTCAAACAGCTCCCCAGTCCAGCACCGCTCAGCACAGCGGCCAGGACAGAGCTAAGCTCTCAGCAAGGCCTCGAGAGCAGTTTACTCCTCACCTGGCTCAAGAGAGGACTCTGACAAAACAAAGGAAAATGTTACTTGGGCTGTAGTTCTGGGATGATCTCTAAAGGGGCTAAATCTTGCCAGCACCACGTGGCTAAGAAGGACGCCATGAGCCCTAGAGAAGGGGGCAAAGCAAGGGCCAGGCTGGGAGCTTAGGTGCTGTGCCCTCTCCCCTGCATCCTCACAGTCAGCGCAAGAAAGGGCCTTAGAAAGGGGTGTCAGGGCTGGTGTTCCACACATTAAAAAATACGGAGGATTCAGAGAGGGTTTACAGAAGAAGCCAAAATCTGGTCAAAGAATTGGTAAAGGCTGTAGAGGCAGACTTGCAAAATAAACTTTCCGTAATATTTACTCTGTGCCAGACATTAGACGGGCACATTTCTCATTCTTTTACTTTGAAATAAAAAAGAGAGACACAACCTTGTAACAACCTCTGCACTATAACCAGGGTCTCAGCGGGGTTCATTGGCTACTCCAGTGGGCACAGCCTGTACCAACTAAGAAACACAGGCCATCCCTGGCCACCCGGAGCTGACATTCTAGTCACAGGAAAGAGTCACTTAGATAAAGCAATTAGTATTAAAGGCAGCATTCTGTATGTCTGTATTGATGGCAATATCATAATAAAGTACTAAATTATGCCAGGAAAAAATGATTTGGAAAATTGGTTCACATACAGTGGTCTCTTTGTTGTGCTGTGATGAAGAGGAAGGAAAAAGAATATTGAAGGTCTTCTGTGTTCCAGGTGTTTCCACCTCACAACACTGCAAAGTAGATAGGATTTCCATTTTACAGAAAAGAAAATTCAGACTCAGAAAAGTATAGTAACTCGCTTGAGATTACTCAGTAAGTGGAGGAAAGGTCTCTGTCTGATGCCAAATGTCAGGCTTTTTCTCCCCAGGGCTGCAGAGGAAATTCTCGTGTTATCCTAGTCAGAGAGGAGGGCTCAGGGCCCTTCAGCTGGGAGCAAACAGACCTGCCGACACCATGATAAGAATGGACTCCAACTCTGGCAGGGGAGAATGTATTTGAGCATGATTGTGAAGGTGGTTCGGCACCTCCTGAGATTTCTAGGAAGAGCAACCATGCCTTCTCTACAAGTCTTTTAAAGCTGGAGTCTTGGAAATTGCTTCTTTTCCTTCTCTCTAGAGACAAAGGGGCAAATAAGGAGACCTTTCAATGTCTCTTCTACCCAACGAACCTCTGACTCTATGAGTTTCCTTCCCCAGACACTGGTCCAGATGTTTTAAGAGCTGCCTCCCTTCCAGCTTACATGATAACACATGTAGATAATTTCTGTCAGCATCTAATTGCAAGAACAATGAGTCCCCTGTGCCTCATTGGAGGGCATAAATGGGTAATTGGAGCCATGGTTAGCGGGCTGAGGTCACACTTTTCTGCTAGTTGAAATGCAGACACCATTGGCATAAGTCATCTCCTTTAAGACTCCAGATACTGGCTAAAAAGGGCAAGAACACTGTTCCAAAAAGCAGAAAGCAAAAGAAACTCAGACTTCCTTGCTCCTGGTGCTTTGGCCTATGAGCCTATTCTCATCACATCTCAAGCTTTAATCCTAAAGACAAGTTGAGGGTCACACCTATACCTCTTTTTGGGCTTAAGGCAAATGGGATATTCTGGGATCTCAGGCTTAACAACTCCTTTGGGGTGTGCTTGGCCAATAACCCCCACCAACATGAAGGAGGAGGAGGCAGTGCCAGCCAGGATTTATTCTCTCCCACTGAAGTCAGGACATGGGGCAAGAGCTGGGCACAGCTTTGCTGGAGCTGCAAGAGTTCCAGGACGGGATTTTATCCTAGAACAAAAAATGGGAACTTTGTCTGAAATCTTGGAATGGCGTTGCCCTCCAGATCTAGAGGGAGAATTTCACATTTCATCCAATTATCAGCAAGGTCTGGTGTTTGTAGTGTACACCTGGTACACATTCCTTTCTTCACTAACAAATTATGCATCTCTGGTCTATCCCCACCTGCCCACCTTACAAGGACTACAAAGGGCTTGCTTTTTCTTTATTTTGAAAGGTGTTTTCAGTCAAGTCAAGGTACAGTTTTATGTGGTCTATTAACAAAAATCATAAGAAACCAGAAAACTTGCTGCCAAAGGTGCCATCAACTCAGATCCCCTTGGACAAGTCATTCCAAAATAGAGGCATTTCCTTGTGTATAGATGAGGTAAGATACCCTGCCCTATCTTCATTGGTTTAGTGATGTTCAAAACTCAAGTTTAAGAACAGAGGACTTACATCACCTCCCAAATTAGTGTCTAGATTCAACTTTGTCTCCTGGAATCAAGTTATTGTAGGGGGTTAGGGATAGTTAGGTAATTAAAACTTTCCTTGGTATTTGAAAGGTTAGTCTCACATTGAGTCAGCTAAATAGTCAAGGAAGAATGGACAGAACTTGAGGCAAATAACCTTGGGTCAGAGTACTTGGGTGCAGACTTGTCTCCACCAGTTGGAAGCAATGTTCACCACATCCTTCTTTTCAAATGAAGAGAAAGATAGAATGACAGAGAATAATTGGATTAAATATGAAACTCTCAGTCTTTTTGCTTTCAAGGATTTCCCTCTGGATCTGGAGGGCAAACGCTATCCCAAGATCCCAAAGTTCCCATTTTTTGTTGAAGTTTGAATGAGAGATATATCATGTTTGGCATGTAGTGAGTGCTCAGTAAATATTCTTTCATATACATTGTA